AAATTATTTATCGTTTTGTAAAACTTTGTTTTTAAATACTGAGTCATTCATCATAATATTAAGCCACACAAAACTTTAAAAATTCAGTTTATTAATAAATAGATGGATGTTTCAGAGTCTTCGCAAGGTAATAAATTTCTTCAACCGATCAAAACCATGTTTGTTCTTGGTGGTTCTAGACGGATAAGTTTTTCTCAAAATATTGAGATTGTAAGCCAGTTAGTAAGGGATATGGGGAATGAAAAAATCAATTTACTGTATGGAGGAACTAGCATCACTTTATTTGATAATCTTTTAATGGCCGGAAAATATTTTGAGATAGAAGTAAAAAGTATCTTACCTTTTCGTAGAGCTTCAACAAGGGTCGTCAAGGATTCCTTAAGCATGGTGCTAACTCATTCTATTTATAATTGTATGATGGATATGGTGAACAAGAGCGATGCATTTATCATTCTTTCAAGCGGTTATGGAATGCTAATGACAATGTTCACCATTGCTTCTTGGGCAGAATTGAAACTTCATAACAAGCCCATAGGTCTATTGAATTTTAATAACTTTTTTCATGGTTTGCTTGGATTTTTAGACCAAGGAGTATATCAAACCTTTATATCTCCTCAAACAAGAGAAGTATTCAAATCTGCAGATACGTCTGCTGAGCTCATCAAAAAGCTACAAGAATGCATCAGATTTCAAGATTATGTGAAAACACAACGGGTCAAGAGAAAAAGAGTTTTTGATCCTTTAGATCTTTCATTATGAACCCAGATAACAATAATGGGTGGCAGAGTTACAGAGTTTTATACTCTCGAGACGCACCCTTCTTTTATGGGTTCTATTATGTAATTTTTTTCGTATTTTGTATATATCGAGGATTTACTACCTCTTATCCATATTTTCATCATATGAACCTTCTGTACTTGTTCCTCAGTAATAATAATATCAATTTAGCTTTTCCACAATATAAGCGTGTAGTACTTCATGACTGCAATCATTTACCATATGTGCTTCTTCTGGAGCACTTTATTGTAATATCTCGAATCTCAATGTGATCTGATATAGTCCCTTAGACTCATATAATATATTAAGAAATCATTTTGTGTGATCACCCATAACTGGTAACTTTTCACACCATTTTCTCATTTGTTCAATCATCAAATGGTAACTTCTGGTACCACTTCATTATTTTGTTTAATCATAACGTGGTAGCTTCATATACCACTTATACCAGGATATCATTTAATCAGTATGTCGTAACTTCCGACGTGATATTAATCATGTGGCAATTTCTTGTACCATCTCATCAATTTTCGTTTCTCCATAAATTTGAAGAATTTATCAATTATTTCTTCAGGATCAATAAGTGCTTATAATGTCCGTTCATGATAAGGACTTTAATTAACTTTCACATGGCCAGATACAAAGTATCATTTTCATTCATCGGCTATCACGTAATTTGTACTGCCCGTCAATCGTGGTAGAGCCACACTGGATAGCCCACGTATATATAGCCATTCATATCCTTTTACATGTATCATTTGTTGAACAAGGCCTTACCACATGGCCATTCCACATTACCGACTATTATTGATTAATATATTGGCCGATTTATTTAGTCGTTCAATATTATCTGTTGCCAGTGGTTGCAACACTCTATTTCACATAACTGTTATAATATTTTGATCAACAATTGACCAGTCGACTGTCATTAAATATTACTTGTCGGCGACAGAGCCGCACTGGCCGGTCCTCGTAGCCATACATACTTAATTTCTTTTCACAAGGGTCAGTCCAATAAAAATTCACATGTTCACATACCAAATAATTTTCACAATAGCAAACTTCAATCATTTTATTATCATATAAACATATTGGTCTTTCAACATCTCTTTCTTACCTTTTTCCTCTTCCTTTCTTTTCTCATTCTCACATATAGCACACACATAAATTAATAACTTTATTCTCCTTTACGTTTGTCTTCCTTCTAATTCAATAAAAATATATTACTATTACCTACCTACCATATATTATTTATCTCCTGCCAACAATTGAGGATTCCAAGAGTAATATCATAATCATGGCAACATGCGTAGGAAAAAAAATAGATAGCTAAGTTGATAATGTTGATGAACTTTTTGATTAGAAAATACTAAATAAATACTAATAGAATAAGTTTGTATAAATATACTCCAACTTGATCACCTTACCCTACACCAACTTGAGTTTTATGAAAATATATTAATGGGCACAAAACGACATGCACCAAAACCAGTACCAATTTTTCAACAGGCTAGCTGGCAGTCAACAATAATTTCAGGCACCAATAATTGGATATGATGATAATTATTAAATGTGTGTGAGAGAGAAGATGTACTTGTAATGTGTTGGAGAATTAGCTTGGAAGAAGACTCTGGATGACCCCTTTTTCCATATCTTGGTACAGTTCTTCTGCCTTCAAACTATTTTTTTACCCACGACACATATATCCAAAAGCACCTCAACTTCCATTTTCTCTTTCTTTTCAACCTTATCCACACAAAGACACTGTGAATGAGATCTGTGGCTAGGGGCGACTTCTCAATGGTTCGACGGTGGTGAGTGATGGCTTATATTCAACAGTCATTGAGCCATAATTACAACCAAGATTTGAGCTCTATATACAGCCCATCTGAAGTTGAGTAAGTTGAGTAAATCTCTGGCAAAGATAGGCCCACTATGAAAGCCACTAGGCCCATAACTGGCCACCGATAAATCATAATTAGGGCTTCATAAACCAGGTATTGGCCCACCAAAACCATGACTGTATAATGTGGCAATACTCGTCAGGATTGAAATGATCGAGAGAGTCACAGAAAGGTTAATGTAAATTTCAATCCGAAGATAAATTATGAATGGGAATAAGGAAAACTTAAAGAACCCTTGACAAGGAATTCAAGGAATAATGATTTGTAATAATCCAATTTCTGATGCAGAAGATCATCTATAAGACGCAACTGTAGAGAATACTCTTGTCATATTACAAACAATGCTCTAGATGGTAGAGACTCGTGTTGATAACGTGTTATAAAACTAGAGGGAAAAGAGAGGTAATAGAGAAAATGTATTCTCTTGGTGTGTTTTTCATTATAACTGAAGCTCCTATTTATAGGAAAACTTCTGATGACAGATCGTAATAATACAAATACATCAAGGGCAAAATAGTCATTCACATACATTAACATAAATGAGTTGGTCGGATGTTGGTGGTTTATAACAATTCTTAAGTTTTTGAAATTGCAACTAAATCTCCAGAAATTATTTAACTGTAAATGGTTGCAAACTAAATATGCATTATGTATATAAAAAATTTAACTATAATAAAATATGCACTATGATGAAATAAGTCTGCATTTCTTTTGACCTAGATATGTATGATAAATGAACTAAATATGTATTATGTATATATGTAATTTGAATATAACAAATATGCACTATGATGAACTAAATATGCATTTTCCATGAACTAAATATTTTTAATGAATGAACTAAATATGCATTATGTATTACATTAATTATATAATAAAAAATAAAAAAATTAAATCAAATTAATTATATAATAAATATGCAACAATAATATGAACTAAGTATGCATTTTCTTATGAACTAAATATGCATTACGTATGAAATAAATGTGCATTTTGCATGAAGTAAATATGCAACGAAAATCTGCAATTAAATGTGCATTTTATATACACAAATGAATGGCTATGATTGGACCTCATATCAACTAAATATACAATATGATTAACTAAATATGCTTCTTGAAAAAAAAAAACTAAATATGCACAATAAATTAATTAAATATGCATTATGAATTAAATAAGTACTTCTTATTTTTAATTAAGTGTGCATTATTTATTAATAAAATATGCATGGTGTATTATCTAAATATACAAGAGAGATCAACTAAATGCGCATCAATTATGATATAGGATATTATCTGTACAAGGACGAACCGATTTGGTGAGCCGGCCGAGAAGAGCAGACCGGGAGCAAACCAAGCCGAAAGGCAGGAATCCAAGGGATCGAGCAGCCCCAGGGCTCGACCACACAAGCGATCGAACAACCCAAAGCTCGACTGCACTGGCGTTCGAGTAGCCTGACGTTCGATCAGACTGCTCGAGCTACCCATCAATCGATCAGATAAGTGATCGATCAAGCTGAGTGATCGAGCAAGCTGAATAATCGAGCAAGCTGAGTGATCGAGCAAGCTGATCAACATAAGCCCAGACGCGTGTATAGCAGACGCGCGTGAGGGTCTCTGACTGAGCTTCAGGAGAATATTTACCCCATGTGCCGGGTGGACACGTGTCGACAATGTATTGGGTGATAGCGATAACCACCTCTGACAACGCCCAAATATCCCGCGGCACCTCTGACATGTGCGCGGCGTGTCAGAGTACAGACGGGCAGCTCGGGCAGCACACGTATCCTTATCCGGGCAGCTATTAGGGCAGGTATCTCATCCCTATAAAAAGGGGATGAGCCTTTCTTCCTTAACACATTCTATTCATTCTCTAAATTCCAGTATACTCATACACATACTGACTTAAGCATCGAAGGCTCTTCACCGGACCCAACCCCCGGTGTGAGAGTTATTTACAGGTTTCCGGCGTTCTACCGGCAAGGACAAGAATCGATCTACTCCAAACCGAGCCTGGACGCTTACACTTGCATTAAATTATATATCTAAAAACTCAATGGCCATATTGCAATTATTCAAATTGAGAATAAATTATAGATGGACTCAAGGATCTAATTGCAATAAGTTGTAAGTTTCTAAAACTGAAACTAGGTCCCTAAAGTTTATCTACTTTTCATAAAAACACCTGGCCCAAAACTTGATTTCTCGAGCCGATGCCCAATCTTCTTCCGACAGTCACGGGTCACCTCCATCTTCTCCTCCATCCTCGGATCGCCGCTGCTACTAGTGGAACCAGATGAAGATGGCCATCGTTTCAGTTTCAGAAAGAAAGCTCTAGTCCTTGTGTGGCCACCAATTTGGGAAAAAAAAGCCCTGGTCCGATTTCAGAGAAGGGTCCAATTTTCTGCCAGTCACTTGTGGCATCGCTGATTTTGGGTAGATCTAGAACGTAGACAAGCGTCACTTTTCTCAAAATCGATAGCCACACAGGGCCTTCCGGAATCCTGCGCCACGCTATCGGCGAGATGCAGAGGGCGGCAGCACTCTAGGGACGACGCCAGAGAGTGGTGTCAAGCTGATGCTGACCGATCACCGGCGGTTAACAACAATTTATTAATTTTTCTATTATATAATTAATTTTGGCATAGACTTAATGTAATTACAATTGGATTATATGAGTCATTGGTCAGGGCCGTGCCGTCACATTTACTGGCCCTGTTCGAAGCTCTAAGTGAGGCCTCAATCAAAGTTCCATATATAGCAAAAATAATATATATACTGTAGAACAAATGTGATATATTAAGAATAGTACCTTTTTGAACTAATCTTTACTTGAATAACATCATTCTCTTAGTGTTCTTTGAAATAAAATCTTCAATAATATGCTCATAGTTAATCTTCTCGAGCAATCCACTCTCTAGTGCTATCATAGCCAAACTATTAAGTCTTTCTTGTGTCATTGTAGAGCGCAAGTATGACTTCAATAGCTTCAACTTAGAAAAGCTTCGCTCCGCTGATGCAACAGTCACAGGAATGGTCAATAAAATTCTATATGCAATAGATGCATTGGGAAAACAATCATGCCGCTTTAGAAACTTAAGGATTTCAAAAGGACCCATATTTTCTTTTGGAATGAAATCCTGAAGGAATCTCAATTCTGTATGAAGTTCATTGGCATCAACATCAGATTTCCCATCTCTTTTGAGGACTGCCTCAAGATTCTCACAAGAAGCTTTCAAGTTCTGACTATCCAATGACTGCAATGAATCAGAAGTAAATAAGAAACCAAAATTCTTTTGGTATTCTTGATACTGTTCAAATCTTCTTGTAAGCGAGGCAATAGCTTGATCAACAATAGGTATAAAATAAGTTCGTCTAAAAAGATCCTCTGGAGTTTGTGCGGCGACATTTGTGTCATCTGGTTCTCATCAAATTGTCTCTTTCTTTTAATTTCTCGCTTTTTACGAAATGTTGTGCCAATATCTAGCTCAAGTGCAATTCCTTTGGCTGCCTCTAATGCTTCTAGGAACCCAGTTTCTCTGTACCCTTGGAAGAAAGAAATTAGTCCTTGCACTTTCTCAATAGCAACATCAATAAGCATGTCCTTTGTTTGCAAGTGCTTGCTTACTAAATTAACAGCATACAGTACCTCATACCAAATGACTATTGCCACTATAAATTCAAATTCTCCAAGTTCATTTTTCGCCAAACCTTTAGCCTCACTGCTAGTTTTTGGATCTTTATCAACATCAGATACCTGAAATTAAAAAGAAAAAAAAAGATAAGTAAATTTTTTAGGAGAGCCAAAGACATGTAGAGTTATTAATAATTTAATTTGTCAATGGCAAATACCTGAAGTAGAGCCTCTCGAATGTCGGCGCATTGAAATCTGATAGCTTTAACACTTTCAACACGACTCTCCCATCGTGTAGCTGAAACTGACTTAAGAGTCAATGATGTTATGTTATCTTTTAGAATCTGCCATTTCTTAGTGGAATTAGCAAAAGTTGCATAAATGCGCTGGATGATTCCAAAGAAATCTTTAGCTGGACCACAAGTCTTGGCCATGTCACAAAGTGTCAAATTAAGACTGTGGCACCCACAAGCAGAATAGAAAGCTTTGGGATTTACATCCAAAAGTCTCTTTTGCACCCCTTGATGTTTTCCTTTCATATTTGACCCATTGTCATAACCTTGGCCTCTCACATCATCAATATCAAGATCAAGACACTTTAGTTCATTCTCTAACACCTCAAAAAGTCTTTGTCCAGTTGTATCATTTACATCTAAAAAACCTAGAAAGGATTCTTCTATGGAAATATTATCTGAAGATGAATCCACATATCTGATAATTAAAGACATCTGTTCTTGATGGCTTGCATCAGGGGTACAATCAAGTATGACAGAGAAATACTTTGCTCTCTTAATTTTCCTTACAATTTCAGACTTAATAGCAGAAGCAAGCAAGTGTATCAACTCATTCTGAATCTTTGGATCAAGATAATGAAGTTGAGTTTCTTCACTTGTAATACGACGAACATGCTCTTGGATAACTGGGTCAAATTCTGCCAACATCTCTATCAAACCTAAGAAATTTCCATTGTTGTCATCATACAGTTTGCTGTTAGTACCACGAAATGCTAGACTGTGCTTGGCAAGAAATTTAACAATGCAAACAATTTTGAATAATACTTTTCTCCAGTGGTCTTTTTCTTTCTCAAGTTGTCGCTGAGCAGTTTTGTCAATAGCTTGATCACTTTGCAGCCTACTACGTAACTCATACCAAGTTGTCATATTCAAAACATGATCTGCACTTGTCTCATGCTCTTTAAGCCTAACACCAAGATGTACCCAATCATTATACCCCTCATTTGCCAATTGACCCTTTCTGTACCCTTTTGTGAATAATTTACAAGCGAAGCAAAATACTCTATCAAGTTCCTTTGAATAGACAAGCCAATCTCTATCGCAAGGCTCTCCATTTGGTAGAATTCTAGTATAGAATAGTGCAGAAAACCTCCTAGAATACCTATCCTTGGGACCTTTCAAAACTGATAAGTCTCTTCTAAGGCCCTTTTGTGCTAAAATATCTATCTGTTTAGGATTAAGTGAATCCCAATATCGTGGATCAAATATATCAGGCTGAAAAGAATCACCAATGTCCTCATTGTTATCACCATCACCATCATTATCTGTTTCAACATTTGTGTGAACTTCCTGTTCGTCAACATTATTTTCTGTCCCTGTTTGACCATCTCTAAGATCATTTTCAATATTAATATCAAGTGCAGGACCTTGATCAACTACCGGTACCGCATTACCGGAAGGAACGCCTGATTCTTTTGTAATAAATCTATCCATTGCTCCTTTCTGGGATTGAGTTAACTCCTCAATTCTTTGTTTCTTCTTACGCTTTTGGGAACGGAATCAAACTTTCTACTTCGATTTGAAGAAGACATGCTTCAAAAAATGAAAAGAATAAAATTAAAATTACACAAACACTACCAGTTCATGTCAAAACAGGTCGAGATTATTGAGATTCGAAGGATCGAAATAGGATCTGGAAAGTTCCATACCTTTTTTCGCCGGACTTTTCGATCGAGAAAGCAAGATGGAGACACGGACAGGTTCCTGTGGAGAACGAACGAGGACCGAGGTTGGATGAACAGAGCTAATGAACGAAAGGAAACTGAGATCTGATGGTAGATAAATTATTCTATTTTATTTGCCTTCAATATAGAAAATCGAAGCTGAAGAGAATTTTCTAAAAATACAAAACAATGACCCATGGAAAAAAGAAAAAGAAATTCCATATTTCAATCTTATTTTTTCATTTTAATCGAAATGTGTACACCCGCTTTTATTACCCAACTAATTTTATTTCAATCTTAAGGGCTTCTACTAATGGGCTTATTTTTTGAAGCCCCAAAATTTTGGAGGCCCTGTACCGATGTACAACCTGCACGCCCTTGTGCACGGCCCTGTCATTGGTCTATAAAAAATGAATCACTATGATTTTCAACAACTAATGCACCATTCTCCAATCTAAGCTCGTCCAAGTAGTGAGATAACTATCTACTAGATCGATCAATAGGGATGTTAGCTGATGAGTCGAATCAACGCTTCCATTCGAACTAGTCGATCCAATACCGCTCCAACCGTTTTGAGAATTGATCAAAAGGACTAACGATCTACCCAACTGTTTGTTTTTACCAAATCACATATTACACAACAAAGCATAGAGAATTATTATGAAAATAGACTAAAGAAAGCTACCAACTTTTTACATCATTCATCCCGTTAGTTCAAAAACAATATTTGAAAGCTGCATTTATAATCATAAAAGAACATATACAAAGAAAAGCCATGCATGCTAAAGAAATAAATAACCCTAACTCTCTAACCCTGGCTCTACTTGCTATATGTAAATTGCCCAATTTCAACAGTAAAACATTACTCTCTTTACATTCTCTTTGAGGGCCGGCAAAGGGCGAAAACCGCACGACTCACCAGCAACTCGCCCGCTGCCCTTCTTGCTTTGCCCATTGCCACTTCCATTTTCGGCCACATCCGGTTCCAAGTAGAATCTTGCCCGGAAAGCGGCCAAATGCGCATAATAAGCTGGGGGAACTGTGTCAATAAAAAAAATATTATATATTTTGTCACTTATAGGATATCTTCATTTTCAGACCCAACTTCGAAAAACTTGGGACAACTTTTGAAGTAATTAATCACAACTCTTTAGTATTCTCGTGTGTATATATACATCGACTTACCCACTGAGACGGAACGTGTGCACCTTGCGTATGTATAACAGAGATTGTTCGTCAGAGACTGAATTCCATCGGCAGTAAAATTGTTCTCGTCCCATAGGACATGGTAATGTGCAGGTCGGCTGGTTCCCTAAAAGTTGAAAACAAAAGAAATGTACTATACGATCAACTTCAAAATACATACTAATAATAGCTGGTGGTCTGATATATCCTAAACTGATAAGCAGCAATAATAAATCGAATTTCGTCCCTATTATGCTGGGAAAAAGAAAGTTATACCTGAATTCCGGCATGGCTACAGAGATAAAAGTCAAATTCTGTTGGGTGACAGATTTTCGAATCAATCACTGTGCCTGAAGCATGAGTAAAAATGCTATAAACAGATTGCAAAGTTTGAAAATATTATGTGTATAAATAGATATTAGGAATGAATATGATGTAGAATAAGGTAAAATATTTTTACCAGGCAAAATGTTTCCACTTTTGTCCGTGCTGCTCTTGTCCCTGTGATTATTAGCAAAGAGTCGGGTGTGGTGTCGCTTTTGTACAACAATAAACGTCACTGGCGGTTGGTAGTTTGGCTCCAAAGATGCGCAAGCCTGCGCATAACATATTTTGGTTGAACACCGAATTTTATTGTGTAGAGGAAAAATAATATGGAAGATGAAGAATACCTTGCGGACGGCATCCAACTCGAACAATAGCACTTGGTAAAACTGTCCTTCACTCACACCATCTCTACAAATGTTAATGCAGCTATTAGATCAACACAAATAAAGTTTTAAACAAATGCACTTAAAAAAGTCTAGATATAAATCGCTTTGCATAAAAACCAAGAGAGTTTATGACAACAAATCATGAAAAAGGATCAATCTCGGAGGAAGTTGTTTAAAAGGTGAGGGATAAATGCATGGTATTCAGCTGAGTAAAGTGAACGCTATATTTGAATATAACCAAACCTGTAAAAGATGATCCTCTGTGGCTTTTGCCCGGTTGCTTTCCTGAATGAAACCAAAAGATCCCTACAAAAGAAAACCAATCAGCAGAACTTGACAAAACAAAACAAAACAAAACAAAGCAAAAAAAAGATTGAAAGTTGTCAATCTAAATCTAACAGACATATATGAATCAATAAAAACAAAATTAAGGAAATAGAAAATCGAACCTGATCATGCCGCCACTGACTGTACCACGAATCGGGTCTTGCCACGTCTTGTACAAATCCTGTATTAATTCTTGTCTGTGAGCCTGAGCACAAACAAGCCCCGCGTACTTCGTCACCTCCGGCCAATCTTGAGATGCCACAACCTGCATTTTGAAATGATACATATACATATATCTCCTTTTTCAAAAACCTCAAATAATATAAATTTAAATAGAAAATGTCAACGAAAATGTATGATATATAATTTTGGTCTGCAAAAGAACATACAGCGGCAATTGATGGGCTTGTCTCCTCTCCATTTTCGGGGTGTGTTACGTCTGCACCAAAGATAATTGTGGGTATATCACTCACTAATGGTATCCTGCAGCTTATGGCATCCAACAGAACCGTGTTCCTACCGCCCATCTGTTTGAAAACAAGATTCACACTTTCAGCAATCAAACGGTAATAATTTGACAGAAAACTTCAGTAATCTTTCAAAACAATTACAACTGAGCCCTCGAAATGTAAAACTTAAGACTGAAGGTAATGTTATTGTATAAGAGTAACTACTGAAGGGTTACTTTTAATTTCTGAAAGATATATATAATTGGGCCTATTTGTGAATAAGCTAACCGTCGAGGCTATTAATTGTAACTAACCCGCAAACAGATGATGATCAAGGGGTTTGTTGTTCAAAATTGGAATCTTGGAATGCCAACAGCAAATGTAAGACACAAGGTGAAAAAATGGAAAATCTTACCTTAACATGTTTTGTGAGACATTAATTAAATGGATACTCGATTTTTAAGGAAGCTTTACCTTCACATTAATTTTTAAGGACACGTTGGCCAAATACTGCTTGTTGATCTTGAAGACGTGTTTTGTGAGACAACACTGGGAAATCAGGCCAAGGTCTGTTTCGCATATTCGCTTGAGATCACCTATTATTACCACAGTAATTAAAGAGATGAGCTATACAGTGAAATGGATATTTAATTTTGCACTCTGCATAGTGCATACCATATAGGGAGCCATTGTTATCCGGTAAAATAGCTAAAAGAAGCTCCAATTCTTTTCCTTTTAGTTTGTTCGTGCATGCATGATATACGTGCTTCAAGGCTTTCTCCACTTGATCGTGCCAGGCATTGTAAATTGGAATAACGGGCTCCGGATTAAATTCCTGTAAAGATTAGTGATGGCAAAATTAATTAGATCGTGTAGTATAGGACATGCATAAAACAGAAGGAATGTATTTATTTGTTTTTAAATTTTTTTACCATGCCGGACACTTGACACATTTGAGCCAGCTCATTACAAAATCCACGAGCAACACTATCTTGAACACTCCTTGAGAAGTTAATACATGCCCAACGGCTAACAGTCATGCCATTGATCATTTTCTTGCATAAAATTAAGAGGTAACTCCAGGTGAGTTGAGGGAGCTAATTTGTAAAAAAAAAAATAAAGAGAAAAAATGTCGACTGGTGAGAAACCTTGTTCATCATGTTCCATTGGCCTACTTGCGGCAAACAATCTTTCTCCTTCCCGGTTTCGTGATATTTCAACTGAAATTATATTTGCAGCCAATGCAAGATCAAGTTTAAGCCATACTTACTCTTTTTTCAAAAAACAAAAGGAAATTTTAGTGAAAAATGCATTATGTATCTCACCCAAGGAGCAGGGAGCACTCTTGCCTCGACAGATGCCAATTTTTCACTGATCCTTATTCCAAATTCCTTTGCGTAGGGATCTTGTTCGTAATCATTATGTTGGACAGTCTTCGTCCACATAAAATGTAAAAAAAAAAATAAAAAAATAATAATAATAGAATAATTCAGAAAAGAAAAAATGACCAAGCGGATTTAACATGAACATGCAAGAGTAACTTAGAATACCTGCAAAATATCATTTTCCCTGTCCCTTGGTCTCTGGCATGTGACTTTTAGAAGAGCAGTAATTTGTTTCTCGCTCAAACGTTTAGTATATCTTTGCCCCTCGACAATTTTACACGCCTACCGGTAACTAATATCAGATCTAGAATTAATAAAGCAAAAAATTTCAGACCCAAAGTATAAAAAAAAAAAACTACCTCCATGGGTAAATAGTTTGCCTTCTTCTGGTTTCCCACTTGAAGACAAGGCAGATGAGTGTACTGAATCGTGAAACCGTACATTTCTTGAAAGTACTCAACAACCGACTTCATGGTCGAGTTATCATCGACAGGAAATCTATAACAATAGTGAATGAGACAAGTTTGAGACAAAAGCATTCACCAGGGGTGAAAATGAACTAATCACAGTATATATTTAGCTAGGTTACACAAAGTAAACAAACTAAGCATTAGTCTTTTTTATCTATTTATTACGAGCTTTGTTCAATCTCAAGCTTACACGAGCTCTCGAGTGGGTTGAGTCGTAATCCCAGCAACTCGATATTTTCTC